CTGAGCCTTCCTGGGTGACCTGGGGCCAGTCATGGTTCTCTCAGAACTCTCTCAGCCCCACCAACCTCACCAGGTGCCTGTTGTGGGGAGAGGGAGGGTGAGGTGGTGGTAAGCCATTTTGAAACACCTGAGCCTTCCTGGGTGACCTGGGGCCAGTCATGGTTCTCCCAGAACTCTCTCAGCCCCACCTACCTCACAATCAAGGCTCCCTCTAAGCTGTGGACTCTTGTGAGCAAAAATTCTACTTGGTGAGCTCCTGGCATTAAAGTTGTGAGCGAGCCATTTGGCTGCTGCATGAATTAGTTTGCTCTGGGGCCATCCTTCCTGAGCTAAGACCAAAATCTGTGAGCCGGAGGCTAAAAAACTGTGAGCTAGCTCACACTAACTCAGCTTAGAGGGAACACTGCTCACAATGTCCCTTTTGTGGGGAAGGGAAGGCAGTTGTAAGTCACTTTGAGACTCTGCAAGGTACTCTTCTATTTACTGGTCAAAAATAATGAGAGAGATTCATGGATCTTTCAGGGCTGCATCTGGCTTGACCCTCATTGGTTTGTGATTTCTTTTTTTTAAAGGTGGCCCAGGTATTGTTACGTCCCTGGTTTAGAACTCCAGCCTGTTCTCCTTTTCGGAAACATTCAAGAATGTTCTTTGTTGTACAGAACCACATATTTTGAGCTAATTAGGAAAGCCTCAAAGAAATCCTGCCCGGTTTCTTTTCAGAATGATAGACGCTAGGCCATAGGGACACTAAGGAGTTGATAAGAGACAGGAGTGACGAATGAGAGAACCTTGGGCTGTGTAAATGATGCAGAAGAACCCCCCAGGGAGGAGAAACTGTGTACCGTGGTTCTGAAACCCATGAACCGGAATAATGTGATAAACTTCAGGGCCTCCCTCCACCGTATATCATTTTGGAACTGACAGAAGGACTTTAAAAAATGGCAGTGGTTCTTGCCATCTCCTGAATTTGGAACGTCCCTTTTCTTTTACCTCCCGTTATACTCTCGTCTTGAAAACGCTTATGGGGCAATACTGAGAAGAGTCACAGCCTTCTAAGCCCACTGACTTCAGTCGAATTAAAGGTAAAGGTAAAGGTTCCCTTGCTCGAAAGCCAGTCGAATCCGACTCTAGGGTTGCGGTGCTCATCTCCAAGCCAAAGAGCCAGCGCTGTCCGAAGACGTTTCCGTGGTCATGTGGCCGGCATGACTAAACACAAGGCGCACGGAACGCTGTTACCTTCCCACCAAAGTGATCCCTATTTATCTACTTGCAATTTCTTGCTTTCGAACAGCTAGGTTGGCAGGAGCTTTAGAAGGGTGTAATTCTGTTTAGAATTAACTATTGGGGGTTGGAATAATCTCCTTTAGGTTATACTTTTTCTTGGAATCTGGAGAACACAGGAGAGTAGCCGGTTGCATCCTTCTCCTCTTATCCGCTAAGAGATGCAGGTTCCTTTGATGTAAGAAGCTTTCTTTTGACTCTTGTGTTGAAGAAGACACCTTGCACTGGCAAAAGGCCCCTCTGTTAACTGGGCAGGGCATTTGGATGCATTATTT